TGGAGACACAATGCCTGCACTGCAAAGCCCCATGGGCTCAGTCTCTCCAGCTGCTGTGACACGTCTGATACCGCGATCCATTCCGTCCCCGACCACCCTTTGCCCGGGCCACGGGATGTGCCCTAACACCCAGCTCTCCCTCCTCTTTTCCAGTACTCACCGCTGCTGAAGAAGCTCTATTGTCAGATCGCCAAGACATGCCCCATCCAGATCAAAGTGTCCACGCCGCCCCCGCCAGGCACCGTCATCCGGGCCATGCCCGTCTACAAGAAGGCAGAGCACGTGACAGAGGTGGTGAAGCGCTGCCCCAACCATGAGCTGGGACGTGACTTTAATGATGGTGAGAGCTGGTCTCCTGCCCCTCAAATAGCGGGTCAGTGTCTCCGTCATCTGCCCAGCTGGTGGGGACAATGATTCTGTTTGAACCTGTCTCATGCTGGTAACCTGTATCCCGGAGCTTCCCCATAACCAAGACTAGCACTAGAAAATGAGCAGGGCCATGTGACACCTGACAGGTGGGGTTCAAGACCCTCCATTTTCACTCCTGTATACAGGAGTCTTCCCTTCCCCACCCCACCCCAGCCTGTTTCACTCTGAGAACCAAAAAGCTGCCTGTGAAGCTCAGATGAAACCAGCACGTTTTGCCTGGCGTGTGCTGGGAACCATCGCTCCTGGCAGCCCCAGGACTGGACTGATGGCGAGTGAGACAGATGAGGTCTGAGCAGAGGCAGAGCTAACAAGCCCTGGAAGCACTCCTTGAGCCAAGTGCTCCATCCACTCTGTGCTAGGACAGCATCACCCTTTACCTTACCTCTCCCTGTGCTGTCTGTCCTCTTGGTGGTGGTAACAGGACAAGTGCCCGCCACAAATTATTTCAAGGTCAGATCTGCTTGCCTGTTAGGTATTTTTCACCTACGAGCTAAGCTACAAATTCCTCAAGTTGCTGCTTGTGACACTCGGACAGAATTTTCAAAAGTGCCCAAGTTCCAAATCCACAAAGGTATTTAGGCACCTAATGTCCATTGATTTCACTGGAAGTAAGGAGCCTAAATACTTCTGAGCATCTGTACCTAAGTGACTTGGGAGCCTAAGTCCCCTGGACATCAATGGAGCAAAGCTACTTAAGTGATTTTGAAAATGTTACCCACTGACCTCCTCTGCCTTAAAAGGCAGGGAGCTTGGACCCAGTTTGGCTCCAGCTGGCACCCTGAGCTCCTCACTAAAGTCCATCTAGAGAAGACAAAAGGATCAGAGCCCCAAGTGTTACTTGTGAGATTCATGCTGTTATACATAACGTTCTGCTCCCAGCAGAACCCTTTGCCTGCTGAAAATGCAGCCCAGCCCCCTCAAATGCAGAAGGAAAGAATTGGGGTAGGTGTTTTGAAAGGGGTTAGGTAGTTAGGGGGCCCCCGCCTCTCATTGCAGGACTTGCCTGACGTGCCTCTGTTCAAGTGGGGCCCTGCTCTCTGGTCAGCAGGAATGAGCAGGTGTGAAGCAGAGACAAAGGATTCTTCAGGCAGGGCAATTGTCCGCGCCTTCACTGGCTCTGTCAGAACCAGACATTCAAGTCTCCCTGGCTGGGGCCTGCCTCGTACCCCGTTTCCACAGAGCCACGTCCAGGCAGCCCAGCCCGGGAAAGGGAAGGGAGTGATGCATGCAGCCACAAAATCATCCTTGAAAATGCTTCGATTAAGAAAGCATCGAAACGCCCAAACGAACAGTGGCTGTAACAGCAAACCTCCCTGTGCCCCGGGGAAGCCTGAGGCGACCTTTGCACAGGTCATTGGTGGCAATGCACCACCGAAGCGGAGCAGCCTCAGCGCCTCTGGAAATAGGCTGGCAAGAGGTTGCCATTTGGAATGTTTGGAGCCCACCGGGCTGCTTCAGGATTCTCCTGTCTTGCAGTTGCCCAGGGTTTCTCAGTCTCAGAGGCTGAGGGACAGCGGCCTGGTGTCTTGCTAGGTGTTTGTACTTGCCTACTGTGATGGGGCCCAGTCCTGATTTGGTTCAGGCCCACCTGGAACACCCAGTAAATTCAAAGGCAGATGAAAGTAAAAGTCAGTTAAACGAATTCTTTGGCTCCTCAGGAGAGTTTCAGGTTTAGGTTGAATGCTACGTTGGGTGGAATTTTCAGGTCAGGTTTTATGTGGCCTGACCCAAAACAGCCCCCTTTGGCCTCTTGAGAGAAGGTGGGGCTGAGGGGAAGCTGGAGAGAACAATGTCTACACGTGGAAGTTGAACCGGTTTAACTTCCATAGTTTTTTTTTTAAAACCATTTTACCAGAACCATCCCGTACAACACTCTTTCTAGTTTAACTCACTTATTTTGGTTGCGTTTAACCCAATTCCTAATCAACTTAAGCTAAACTAAAATGCATGTGGTGTAAACCAAAATGTGAGCGTCCACACTGCCTTTTGCCCTGGTTTAAGTAAACGGATTTTATAATCACCCCGTGCAACGTTCTTGGGTCGGCAAGCCCCCCCCCGAGCAGGGTCTTTCCTCTAACTCTCCCCTCTGCAGGCCAGTCCGCTCCAGCCAGCCACTTGATCCGGGTGGAAGGCAACAACCTCTCTCAGTACGTGGACGACGCTGTCACCGGAAGGCAGAGTGTAATGGTGCCATATGAGCCACCACAGGTATTCTCTTTGCTTGAAGAGGAACAGGGGGGAGGAAGGGGCCAGGGGGGAGGGTGAAAATACGGTTTGTAGTTTTCTTAAATAAAGTTACAGCTGCCTCACAAGCTCTGACCCGGCCACTGGCACCAAGGTGGCTAAAAGCAGCATCCGCCCTGGATGAGTTTCAGTCCCTGACAAAGCTCCTGATGGCACTGCAGCGTCTGGAGAGTAATATCCCTCGCGCTGCAGCCCTGATAGCAAATACATTTTGCCTGTACTCCTTCCCTTTCAGGATTTGCCAAAGCATCTCACTTTAACGGGGAATCTTGCTTCAAACCCACTGGGATCACAGAGCATTGTGCAGGTTAACAGAAACTTCAGTCCAGCTAGTAACTGCTCAGGGGCACATTTGGCCGATAACGAAATTAAATAAAATGGTGAGTGGAAAGCTTAGCGCGCCCCCTAGGGCCCTGTTAAATTAGTGTCTTTGTGATGTTGATTTCCAGCTGCAATGTCACATGCCCAGGGCAATGAATGAAGTATCTAGCAGTAAGGTCCCACAAAACTGGCATGATATGAAAGTAACACAGGCACTCTGCAGTTACAGTGGCTACATAATCCCCATTCAAGGGGATATTTCTCCAGAGCAGTGGTTCCCAAACTTGTTCCACCGCTTGTGCAGGGAAAGCCCCTCGTGGGCTGGGCCGGTTTATTTACCTGCCACATCCACAGGTTCAGCCGATTGCGGCTCCCACTGGTCACGGGTCACTGCTCCAGGCCAATGGGAGCTGCTGGAAGTGGCGCGGGCCGAGGGACGTACTGGCCACTGCTTCCAGCAGCTCCCATTGGCCTGGAGCAGCGAACCGCGGCCACTGGGAGCCGCGATCAGGCGAATCTGCGGACGCGGCAGGTAGACAAACCGGCCCGTCCTGGCCCGGCCCGTCAGGGGCTTTCCCTGCACAAGTGGCGGAACAAGTATGGGAACCGCTGCTTTAGAGCAAGGGTCAGAAATTCATCTTCCCTGCCTTCCTCCATGAATATTCCCCCAAACACACACACACAAACCCCCCACTGATTTGTGAGCTGAGACACGCTTTTTGCACCTGTCTGGCTGCAGCCCATTGCTGCAGTGACTGAGGTCTGCCACCATGTCCCCTGGGCTTTTAACACCCTGCCCCCTACTAACCCCACCCCCCACATGATGTCATTTCCTCTCTTTTGGGCAGGTTGGGACTGAGTTCACCACCATTCTGTACAATTTCATGTGCAACAGCAGCTGTGTGGGAGGGATGAACAGACGGCCCATCCTCATCATTATAACCCTGGAGACAAGAGAGTGAGTCATTCTTATGGTACCTGTGCTGCAAAGGACAGACATCTGCTCCCCTCCGCACTCCTGCGCCTGGCTCTCCTGGGCCCTCCTGGACAGATTACGAGCTGAACGGCAGCTGCGTAAATAGCTAGAGAGAGGCTCACCCAGTTCACATCTGGGGATGAACCACGCACGGCCTGGGGAGAACCTCAGCAGTGAAACAGAGGAGTTAGCAAAACTCCAGAGCCTGATTTGCAAGACCTCTGGAGGAGAAGGCAGCCCATAAAGTTCTGGAAGCTGCAGCCCAAAGCAAACTCCTGGCCAAGCATCTTTGGCATGGAGAGTCCAAAGCACAGTGAAGAGGTGGGAAAGTGGCATTTCCTGACTGGGAAGTTAGTGACTACGAAGAGCCTTAGAGGGTGGGTGTGCGGGAAGGTAGGAATACACAGGGGCATGGGCTTCTCCTCTGCACACCTTTCACAGCCTGGAAAAAACTCTTGCTCCCTCCTGTCTCCCAAGGTGTAACTGTATTAGTCCTTTGCTAATCAAAGATGAAAGGCCACCGGGGGAAATTCACCCCTAGTCAAAGAGACCTGCACAAGAGCCCGTGCATCACTGTGAGACTGTACGTGGAACACAGCACCTTGTGTGCTGCATCAGGCCTGGTGTATATGTACAGCAGCCTTGGGCTTCTAAGATCAGCAAATTCCTGCAGAGCCCTTGTTAGGTGCTCACAGGAGGGGAATTCCTTTTCCTGAACTTTTCTTTTTAGTATTTTCTGGAGTGTTTAAAAGCTTTTTGAAGAATTGATCAACACAAAGTCAACGGACAGAAACCCAACCCCATAGAGAATGAGGTTTAGTCTGATTAGTTCCCTAAAAAAATAAATCCTTTTTGGTTTTTACTCTGCTCCCCAGTGGCCAAGTATTGGGGAGGAGATCGTTCGAAGGGCGGATCTGCGCCTGTCCCGGCCGAGATCGGAAAGCCGACGAAGATCATTACCGAGAGCAACAAGCCCTGAACGAAAATGCAGCTAAAAATGGCAACGTCAACAAGCGCAGTGAGTCCTCCTTTCAGGAAAGGGTGAATCTCAACTCCGAGTGAGACCCCCAGCTTTGTGCTGCCTAGCACTGCTGAGCTGGTGTTGTCCAGGGCATGGCCCATGCTTCCGGGGCAGCAGCAACGAACACTCTGAACTACGGAACTTGGGTGGTGACGTTTAGCTGAAGAGCAGTACTCCGATCCAAACGTCATCGCTCAGATCCAGCTGCAGTCAGAAAAACAGAGTGGCATTGTTAGTGGAGGTGGTTCATTGTCCAGATCTATTTGTTCATCATTATTATTATTAAAGGCAAGTGTTTGCTAGTGCTGAGATAGTTAAAAAACTAACATGCTCCATAAGCTTTAAGCTTATTTCCTGCAGGCATCAGAAAGGAATTTTTTGCCCCCTCTCTTCCCATCCAGCCGTGGCCAATTACGTACTGTGGGTTTTTTGCTGTACTCTGAAGCATTGCCCCTCCCAGAGATAGGTTAGCAGCAGGCAAAGCCTCTGTTGAGTGTAGGGCTGGGGGCTGAAGTGGGAGGCAGAGGGAAAGAATTTTCTGTGTAAGTTTATTATATTTCATCACTAATTCCACACCCCCAAATAAATTGGGCACATACTGAGCTAAATCTTCTCAGGGCAGGTATTTAACTGTTCGCAGTAAAACCTTACAGAAGGCTCCTGGCAATTTATCAGCTCGTACACAAGAGTTTCTCACTAGCCCTCTATCACAATGGTGATAACTCATCTTTTAGGCACCTGTCAAATATTTACGCTCCTAGCAAGTGTGTGAATTTAATGATCTGTACTGATCTTCCTCAACTTTAACAAAGCAAATCACTACGAAGGGCCTAGGGACATGCAGCAATGCCCTCTTTCTCCCCTTGTGAGCTGGAGTCATAGTTAGGTTTGTGCAGTAAGGTTTGCATTGTCCAGCAATGGGCTTGGAGTTCCTCTTGTTGGTAGTCAGGGAAGCTCTGGGTTCTGGCTTTCGTTCAGTGGGGCCCTTCAGCAGCTGCCTGCCCTACTAGGAGCTATTGCATTTACTCTAACACAGTTCCCAGTCTAACGTTATAGAAGAACTAGGGAGTGGCCGCTTAGATGATCACATTTAACTTGATTTTTCCGTAATACTGTTTCCCATCTCCTTCCTCAGCTTTCAAGCAGAGCCCCCAGGGGATTCCAGCACTAGGGGCTGGCATTAAGAAAAGGCGGCACGGGGAAGAGGAAATGTATTATGTCCCAGTAAGTATCAAATCTTCTGCTGCACGCAGTGTCTGAGCCCTGCTCTGGGAGAGCAGTGGCGCTGGCCCCTGGATAGGATATGGGGGAGCGGCTCCCAGAATTCAAAGGGCAATGAAGTGATATTTTACCTAGCTGAAAGGATGAGGCCTCCCCAGACTGGCATTCCCAGCAGTACACAGCATTGAAGCGCTTTACTTTGGGTGGCTGGCGCTTACTGTCCTGATGAGTCCTTACAGAGGGCAGACAGGGTGCAAGGAGCAAGACTGATGAGGCTAAGAATGGGTACAGTGAAGAACAGGCTGGGAACAAGTCTGCAACGAACGCTGAGCAATGAGCAGCAGGAGCGGAGATCCAGAATCATGCACTGGAATTGCTTTGCATTCCCAGGGCAAAATAGCCTGCTCCAAAACAAGGCTGCAAGTCACCTTCCTCCCTGATCCCACCGTGGCCAGAGGGAATTTGGCTTTGTGTGCCTTCAACCAGGGACTTGGCTACCCCGTCTTCCTGCTGTTAGGGGAGGAGACACGTTATCGGACCCCCACTCTGCTCCTGCAGGAAGGGGACTAGAGGAGACCATGCGTTGTAACTGGATTTCTTGAGGATGGCTCCCCTAGAAGCATGGAATCCCAGGTAGCTGCTTGCCTTGCTTGTGCTTAAGGCTATCCTCACATTGTCCCTTGAGTGGGCTGGGTAAAGGAGGGGGAAGGTGGGACTGGCTATGAGAGAGGGTCCTCAGCAAACCGGACAAGGCAAGTCAGACTGAAGTACAGGCTCGCCTTGGTCCCTGATTCAGGTTCGCGGCCGGGAGAACTTTGAGATCCTCATGAAGATAAAGGAAAGTCTGGAGCTAGTGGAGTTAGTTCCACAGCAGCTGGTCGACTCCTATCGGCAACAGCAGCAGCAGCTCCTGCAGAGGCAGTAAGTACCATGACCTTATTGTCCACTGTCGCCACAAGAGGTCTCCAGAGATACGTCGAATTAACCACAAGACATAACAGGGATCCAGGAAGCTGGCCTGACCCACCCTCAGGGTTCTTATGCTTTGTATAACTATGGGGTGTGGAGAGGCCTCTACCACCTTCCAGAGAGCCCCTCACTTTGATTCCTCCTTGGTAGTCACCAATATTGGGTGGGGGTGGGGCCAGACCTTCATTCTTCTCTCTGGAATAAACTATTCTTCCTCTTTGTTTATTGTTTCCCTGACTAGACATTGATGAGCACCTTGGGAACGTATATTATGATAAAATAAGCCAGAAACCAGATACACCTTACACTGCTACTTAACTCTTACCCAGAGCTCTTCAGCCATATCTCCCACAATAGTTTAATGGTGGGTAGACTGCAGAATAGATTCACTGATTCCAAGGCCAGAAGGGATCACTATGATCATCTAGTCTGACCTCCTGCATACCACGGGCCATAGCACTTCCTAACAATAATTCCTAGAGCAGATCTTTTAGAAAAGTATCCAACCTTGATTTAAAATGGTCAGTGATGGAGACTCCACTATGACCATTGGTAAGTTGTTCCAATGTAATTACTCCCACCGTTAAAAATTTACGCCTTATCTCCAGTCTGAATTTGTCTAGCTTTAAATTCCAGCTATTGGATTGTTATATCTTTCTCTGCTAGACTGAAGAGCCCATTATTAAATATCTGTTTCCCCATGTAGATAGACTGTAATCAAGTTACTCCCTAGACTTCTCTTTTTTAAGCTATGAAATCTGATTAAGCAACAGCAGTGAAAAATGGAATGCAAAGAAAGGAAGTGACTTGTCCAAGGATGCAGAGACAGTGACTGGAAGAGTTGGGAATAGAACCCAGCTTTCCTGACTCCCAGTTGGGGACCTCTCCATGGGACCACACTGCAGTGTGCACCTTACTTCTTCAGTGACAGGTGATAGTTGCCCATCAGAAGCTTTAGTTCTGCACTGCTGGTTTAATGGGTAGGAGGTGGAGAGCAGCATCCAAGCAAAGAGTGTTGGAGAAAGACCGACACAGAAGTGAAATCAGCAAGCAGGGGCTGTAGGGTATATTGCAAGTGAAGCCTCTGACAATATATCTCCATAAAGCAATGTGATCTATGGGTTAGAATGGATGAGCAAGGACCAGGAGCTCCTGAGTTCTTATTCCATCTCTCCAACTGACCCACTGTGAGAACCTGGGGATGTCATTTCACCTTTCTGCCTCCACTTCTCCATCTGTAAAATGGGGATAATTCTGCTCCCTTGCCTTATAAGGAGGTTGGGAGGGACTCAACTAACGTTTACACAGGGCAGTGCAGATGGAAGCTGTGTAAATGCTATGTATTAGGATGCCCGTAAGGCCCCTGCTACGGTCCCCGTACTGAGGTGAAGCCAGCTGTTCCGCATCCCATGCACATTCCAGACAAACCAGTACAGAAGTTGATTTCCCCAGTAGGGGTACAGCACGATTTGCACCAGTGCAATGTACCCAGCCTTAAACCAGTGTCAGTCGCGTCTAGAGCAGGGTTTTGCACTGGTGCAGCTATGCTGCTGGCTAAAATCTCAGTATGGACAAGGCCGAGGTCGGAGTCCCTAGAGAGGTTTGATTTGCTCAGTCTCCACTAGGGTCTCACTGACCGTGCCACTCTTCCCGAGCAGGAGTCACCTGCAGTCCCCTTCCTCCTATGGGCCCGTCCTTTCGCCAATGAACAAAGTGCATGGAGGAGGGATCAACAAACTGCCGTCTGTCAACCAGTTGGTGGGGCAGCCACCACAACACAACTCCAGCTCTGGGCCCAACCTGGGCCCAATGGGTAAGGCACCCGCACTGCCATGTGACACGGGCTCTGCAATCGCAAAGGGCCAAGAGGCCAGACAGATAGACAGCCGCCTCGGCTAAACAATACGTAAAGCAGTGCAAAGCTCCCTACGCCGAGCTCCAAATTCTTCCTCCTCCCGCTCTCCCAGGCCAAGCAGAGTAGGTTACCATGGGCTTGGTTATTAGTCGCTTATGCAGCTACATTGCTCAGAACAACTCACCATGCCGAGAGCTGGGAAAGCCCTGCCCAAGCCAGGCTGCCTGGATCCATGGTGTAGCCGCTGTCTGCAAAGGTTGCCCCTGAATCTGTGGATTGTGGGGGTGGAACCTCCAGCTTCTTCACCCCTCCTCCACGCAATGGGTGAATTCCCAGGGAATCCTGCCAGTTAACACTCAGGATCTTGGGTCCCTGAGGTGGGTTATTCCTGCAGATTGGAGAATGGGGCTCTGTGCTTGGGAAAGGACAGTTGTAGCTTCTTTAAGTTAAATCAAAAACTTTTCAATGGTTCTCCCCTGTACGCTCTGGGCACAGTCCAGGAGATGGAAACCCTTTTGCTTTTTCTTGTGCTCAGGACCCGGAATGATGAACAGCCACCCCATGCAATCCAATGGAGACATGAATGGAGGCCACTCCTCCCAGTCCATGGTCTCAGGTTCACACTGCACTCCTCCTCCACCCTACAACCCTGACCCCAGCCTTGTCAGGTAGGGACGTCACCGGTCCTGTGGTGTGTTGTCCGTTGTTGTTTCATGCTCTTTTCCTTTACTCTAACCTTCAAAGATATGTTTAGCAACTGGTCAACTGGTCACTAGTTCCAACTGAGAAATCACTGCTCATGAAACCAGAGAGCGTTTTCCTCACCCCTCTTCACTTCAGAAATTGTCCTCGCCAGCCAATTGCTGGTTAGAAACACATATCACCTGGAAAGATCTTTGGCTTATTCATTCTCACTAAGTTCATTCAAAACTTGATCCCTTTAGCAGACTGATATGAAAAGGCACCTTGCCCTGCATGTCAAACACTGGCATATAACTTTGCAGATCTTCCTTCTTCCCCCTTTCGGACCAATGGTGACTGGAAATGGCAGTAGAGGATTTATATCCAGACATTAACAGGTCTGTAGTCTGTGATTTGATGTCCTTCTTAAAGAACCGATACCTCAGATGTTTTCCCAGATGGTCTACCAGAATCCCGGAGTAGCACAATCCGTGCTAGCATTGTGTAGCTACAGCCAAGCCCTGTACATAAAATATTTCAGCACCAAATGTTATAGTGCAAAGATTAATTGTTGTTGACCAAATCGCTTAAGGCCAAATTCCACAACCCTTCCTCAGTCAAGTTGCTCCAAGGGGAAAATTAATCCCTAGAGTAATTCCATATAGGTCATTTAACTGAGACATTGAAGACTGCTGAAGCCAGTGGAATTATGTTAGGATGAATTTGGTCCCATGGGCTTTACCTCTCCAACATTAATGCCAAATTAGTTTGCACTTTTCAGCCCCAAGAAAACTCTGACCAGGAGTTTTGAGGATCCCTGAAATGGGTTCTTGCTACGCTTCCAATTTCTTGCATCCCACAATACCATAGTAGCATGAGAAGAGTTGCCAAGCCTTCAGATGAAATAAATGAGTCCAGTAAAATGTCCCCATACCCTCACATGAATTCAAAAGTGCTTTGCCACAATGGTGACACTTGAGAACACAGCATATATACCTGACAAGTTAATGCCACTTTATTTTCAAATTCTTTCTGCAGTTTTTTAACAGGCTTGGGGTGTCCAAACTGCATCGACTATTTCACCTCACAAGGGTTACAGAATATTTACCACCTGCAGAATCTAACCATAGAGGTAAATGCTTTGGGAAGATCTCTTCTTATCACTTGTTTCTACCAGCTGTTGATCTTAAAACAAGGACAACCAAATAAAGGAAATAAATGTGCACCTACCTATCATACAGGCTTTATAGGCATGTTTTATGTTTCCCAATTATGCATTCTTTGTAGTCCTATAGATTTAGAATAGTGCTATCCTTAAAAGAAACTGTAATATTCTCTACTGTTGATTTTTCCAGGCTGTAGGATGCAAGGCCTAGCAGAGATCTGAATTAAGAAAGAAATGCAAACAAAAATAAAAATGAAAAAGAATTCAGGTGCAATCATTCTCCTCATGTGCACATCTAAAATAAAGCCAAAGATACAGAAATCAGACTTTGAATTGATTTTCACTAAATATGTCTACTGAAACAAATCACAGTACTCAGGGACTGACCCTAAGCCCACTGAGCAATGGAAAGATCGCCCTTTGACTTTGATGAGCTTTAGCTCAGAGCTGCAGGGCCCAGCTGCTTCCCTTGCAAATCAGGAGTAACTGCACTGGCCAAATGGAGTCACATTAGCAATAAACCAGAACAAACAAGGTCAGAATCAAGCTGTTTGTATTTAGCAATTTTTTGTTTCAACCCCAGGACCTGATATTGTGGGCTGGCTGGTCAAGAGCTGTAATTTTTTTTTTTAATTGATACATTACACGGGAAATGCTCTAATTTGTGTTTAAACACCTTGCCTCTGGGTGTGGTGAGTTTTATTGTAGCTATTTCTTGGTTGAAGAACAATCTCTTGGGAGAGGAGGGGCCAACTTTGCATGAAATTCACCTGCCTTTGGTGCCGATGAAAATTGTAAGGTCATCCAGCCAGTCTTGACATTAGTGAGGCAAGGGGCTCCCTCAGTACAGTAATGTAACCAGCATACACATAATGCATTAACACTTTTCATCTATGATAGACCCCAAATAAATCCCAGACTCAGTATTTTGACCAGGACAAAGCTCTTATCTTGATCCCATCTCATTCTTAAAATATTTGCTGTATGCCTTCCTAGTCTAGCAGCTAGGAACCAATCAAGAACACAGATGGTATAATTATTGAAGACACAATGATTTTTCATTGGTAGCTGGGGCCAGTTGCATAGTCTTAGATTAGTTTTGAAACATTTTAATAACTAACCCTGTAAGTGATTTTTTCTTTAATCTGCCAAAAAGCACATGTATGGCACAGTCAAAATACATTGCTGGGTTGTGTGTCTGAGTTGACATTTTTAACCCCTAATTACATACTTACTTCTTATGGAATTAATGCTCACGAGTGAGTCTGTGTGTTTGGAGTTAATGTGGACCTCTAGCAGCAATTCAGTACGTCTGAAATACAAACCACTTGTATTTGTTCTGATGCAGCCTCTGGCATGTAGGATACAATCCTGAAGTTTTCATGCTTCTGTTTAACATTATGACCACAGCACTTAATGTCTGTGATGAATAACATCAGTCAGTGCACATGCTGGCATAGGTTAATGCACCAGAATCCTGTGACACTTCATATTGGTAGAGCAGAGAAACAGCAGCCATTCAGAGCCGATCATGCTTCCCAAGGCAACCTTTGCCCATCCTGCCAGCATTTGTGACCTGAGATTTTAGTTCAAGGCTTAATCCAGGTTATGATTATCCAGGGGAGAGAGAAATGATTGCAGGCAAAATGGGATGATGGTTTCCTCCTTATTTCAGTAAATTGAATGACCTGACTCCTCACATGGTGCTCTGCAACCTGCACAGTGAAGGCATTCAGCCTCACACCGTCCATTTTGTTAATTAGATTCATTTAAAGCAAAGGAATTCTCTTTTCCTTACAAAATGATATGGTATATGACCCAAAGCCCTGATCATCTCATGTGTTGACTATGTGGCTAGACCCACACACTGATCTAGACATTTAATGGTCCATGGGTTTGCCCCTCTCTTGACGATGCTGTTTAGCAAACGCATTTTTGAAGAGGCCCACCTTAGTGACGTTGTTGTTCTAGGATCTCGGAGCGCTGAAGGTCCCGGAGCAGTACAGGATGGTTATCTGGAGAGGCCTTCAGGAACTCAAACAGGGCCAGGACTATGGTGCCCAGCAGCTTCTCCGTTCCAGCAGTAATGCCGCCACCATTTCCATTGGCAGTTCTGGGGAGCTGCAACGGCAGCGCGTCATGGAGGCAGTGCATTTCCGCGTGCGCCACACCATCACTATCCCGAACCGCAGCGGGGCTGATGAGTGGGCGGACTTCGGCTTTGACCTCCCAGACTGCAAATCCCGCAAACAGTCCATAAAAGAAGAGTTCACCGAGGGCGAGATCAACTGAAGGTCTCCAGCAGTGTGGCAGCAGGAGACCAGACACAGAGATTTAAAGGAATGGGGGAAAATATAGAATCCCAGCCTGAAAAATGGAAAAACATTTCCAGCTTTGAGTGTCTGAAGAAATATTTTTTAACATGGCTTTACTCAAGAGATGGGAACTCAGAGCTGTGTGAGGACATGGGTCTGGGACCATCCCCTGGAGGAAAATTCCAATGGTTTTATGACAGGGGATCAAGGGAAGGAAAAAGGGCAGCTGCCACAGATCTCTCAATGGGCTGTAGAGTTTTTTTAGCCTTGTGTGGCAGGGGAATATTCACTTGCCAATGTACAGTGCAACTTTACAATTTGCTGGACCATTTTTGCATCAAACTCTATTGCAATGTAAAGGCAAAACACACACATTTTTCTTTAACTCTAGCCTGCCCCACATTCCACCCTATCCTCGCTGTCTGCTAAGGGACGGCTGAATAACAACAGACCTTTGTCTTGTGAAAGTGGTTTAACCCTCAATTGTTCCACTTTCTTTAGGGACATCTGCCATTGACTGATACCCAAGAACAAAAGGACTTGCTTTCCTGATGGACTGCCAAAAAGTATTTGTTTCTTTTGTTTTTTTGTAGAGCAGAAAAGCAACTTATTTGCTGATTCCAGACTGTGTGCATGTATCTAACTGATATTTGTGTATATAGACACATGCTGTATATACAGTATATTCACCATGCTGTAAGGATAGAGAGATTTATTTTCATGAACTTGTATGCTACAAAAATATTGATAATTTCCCCTAAATAAGACACTACTGTGTCATAATTAAATTAACTTCATGCTCTAGCATGTAAACATGCAAAAACCTGATATATTTCAAGCCTCACTTGTAAAAAAATCATTTTTCCCATGTGGATTTTTAATACAATTCTGGAGAGACAAATCCATGGACCCCACTGCTAGGAATTAGAGGATTCTGTATAATTAATTACAATTATTCACCCAAATCTTGCTCAAAGTTCCTGATATTGCCAGAACTCAGATTTTTTGTAGCACACCATTAATTTTACCTTAACCATTAACCTGTATGTGTAAAAAAAAAAATTGGATTTCCCAGACTGTTGATAATCATCCCCATCTGGTAAAATGATTATATTTTCCACATCAATGAGTGGAAATGGTTTCTTCCTTCCCTATAGTCCCTGTGGATAGGTGTTTTGTTGATTTTCCTCAAGCCTTTTGTTTGTCTGCTGGTTGAACTTAAAAACTCAGCAGGAAACAGTCAAGCATGCAGATGTATTCATCTCCAGGTCTTGTGCAAGTCAGCTGGAAACTCTCTGCGTGAGATTCTGTGAGACACCTCTAAGAGGCACAGCACAGAATTCACTGCACAGGCAGAGGAGGGGCTATGGTGGCTTTAAGCCAACTTTATACCCCTCCTCGTCCTGGACTACTATACAGCCCCATAGTTTAGACAGCCCTGAAGACCTAAATTATGGCAGCTTGGGGCTTCCACGCTGTCTGGAATCTCCACAACACTGCAGTCCTGCCTTTGGCATACTCCCTACACTGGGGCTAGCAAGGGGGTCCTTGAAAGAGCCTTGTGGCTATTTTCCACTGTGCTTGCACGGGGGGATTCCTCCCTGGCCTGATATGTTTTTAAGAGTTCCTTTATGCTGCTCAGGGCCTTTTACCGGGCATAAAGGGGCCAGAGGTAGGATTTCACCTATGAGCAAGTACAGCGTTCACCTCACAAGTTCTGCTTCTCCTCTCAAGCAGGATGGTCACTGTCCTCAGTCTTAGCAGAGGGAAGGCCACAGAGAAACTGAGCTGGACCTCTGCAAGTGCCAGCACAGTAGCACAAGTGTACTTGTCTCTTCCCCATTTCCACGCAGATTCCCCCTTCGCTGCTGGCAGCTCAGGAGCTTGGGAAGGCAGGAAACCACTGCTCTGCTCCTTGTAAATGACCAGCTTGGTTTCCACTGGCTTTTGCCCCAGTCCACCAACCTAAGCCAACCCAGCATATTTGAAAGCTGTACACTTGTGCACACTGTACTCTTTAGGGATTAGCACTTCAGGGCGTTGCTGAGCTGTGAACATGCGCTTTCTAAGTAGTAGTGAATTAAAGCACTTTAATGCTTTAAGATTTTTAAAATAATCATTCATGTTTTCAATGTTAACTAATGCTTTTTCCAGCAGTATTACTGGATATATTCCAACTCTATTAATTGTATTTTTTGTAATGTTATCTTTTGGAAAATGTGTTATTTTTATAGCTGTGGTTTGTTTGTTTTTTGTAACACAATAAAACACACGTCTGAAATACAGTGGCTCTGACAGAAAAGCAGCTCCTGACTAGATGGCCCAGGAGGTGATCTGATAATACTAATGATCTACAGCTTGGAGAGTTACCTTCTGCCTTTCAGAATTGGCCTGAAGTTTGAGCAGGAAATGGGAAGCTCGCTGTTGCAACTCAGTGAGTAGTGTGAAGATACAAACGAGCAAAGCACAGAAGTACTTACCCAAGCCAAAGTAAAATTAAGATAGGCTTTGAGTGCATTGAGAAAATTGCTTGCAGGATCCCATCATTCAAAACAAGACATGGCATTCATCTGTGACTGGGGAGCAGCTGTGCATGAATCTTGGTCAGTGCATACAAAAAGTCTACCTCATTTCTACAAGCTTTCAGCACACTGGTGCTACTTTCTGCAACATATGAGCAGAGACGATCTGAGGTCATACTTAAGGAAGTTACATTTAGGAAAATGTAAGTTTTAGAAGAACTATGGCTGGATCAAACATTCATGTCAAAAAGAAAAAACCCCAACAAAAGAAAAACATTCGCTTTCATTTAATAAGTGGCTATCTTGATTTAATGGAATTTAGGGGAAGAGGGTTATATATAAACTATCTTTCAATAAATGGCCAGAAAATATACCACAAATCTGACAGTATATCATTAAGACACAGCTTTCTTTGGGTTTAAAAAAAAAAGACACTTAAAAAACTATTTCCACGAGAGAACTGGGTTTAGTTATAAATATCACAGCTATTCCTAGTTTTAGTAATATATACCGTATATATATATAAGAATTGGAAATTGACAGAGTTAAGAAATTTTTTCAGGAAGAGAAAATGTGACGTATAGTTGCTCACACATTCAATGCAAGAATGTTATTTTAATACAATTAAAAAACCCTTTTTTTAAATCTTGAAAACCAGGGTATGAGAAATACAAACAAGAATACAAAAGTCAAATATATAAATTTCAATATGCTCAACATAAGAATAAAAAGTTACAAATAACCTGGTTTAAAGCAGACTTGCCTGTTATGGAAGGCACTATCTTTTCCTGTGATGTGTAATCCAAATCTGGTGGACTGTAACAAGCATGTATATCATATTCCCTTCCCCCACTCAGGGAAAACATGTATTATTTAATTTCCCTATTGAAGAAACACTGAAACATGAATTTGGATTCAAGCAAGGAAAACAAAACTGCTGACAGATTGTACTCTCTTTGTTGCATCCAGGTGACATTTCTTGTAACAGACGTTGTACAGTGCTACTGTGTAGAGATTCACAATTTTATTCTAAAATAAACCTTTATTTTTTAACAGTGATGCAGTGTTCATAGAGAAATGCCCAAGTGCATGGTTTGCTCTGTGAAACAGTCCAATTCATAGCATGCCTTCCAAGTTTCTTTCATTACACTCTAGAGCCAGAAGTCTCCCTGCCTGTTCATTTTCAAAAAGTTAGATGCTCACAACTTCCCAGCGATGTTATTTCAAAACCACAGCAATGAATTAAGAACAACGTGGACAGTTGGATAGATGGGGGATTCAGAACAGGGGTATTTAGTACACAAATCACATTCCTGCATATACTAATGAGATGTACCGTATGGACCAAAAGGATGCTCTCATTTTGAACACCATGGTTGCACCTCATTTTCAAGCTGCCATTATAAATGTTCATTGCACAGTCTTCACTACAACAGCAGGTTGTCAGTACGTCGTTGTCAATATCATGATTAGTGTCTGGGAAATCCACTTTCAGGAAACCAGTATTCCAGAACCTGAAACTAACTCCTTGAAAAAAGGAAATACCACTGCAGACAAAGCCTCCCATAATCTCCTCTCAGAGTCCTGAACCATCGGTAACACCAGTACTGAACACTTTTGTAGCTCTAAAAGGTATCCGAGTTACAGGCGTTGTCAGTGAAAATGTAAAAAATAATAAAAAAGGTTGTTTAGTTTTGTATTAAGACAACAGTG